TTTTTTTCGCAATATTGCGAAAATTTTTTCATAGTGCAATAATTTTGAAATTTATTTTGTAATATTTCGAAAGAATTTGCATTTTGCAAAAATTTCAAAATTTCTTTCAGATTATTTCAAAATTTTTGCACTATGCAAATTCTTTCAAAATATTTCGCATCTATAATTTTGCTAATGCATTTAATAGTCTTATTGTAAATTTGCATTATAGTCTTATACAAAACTGACTGATTTTTAATATTTTTCTATATATATATAATACATTTTATATAAATGTTTTAAGCTTTTAATAACAAACAAAATCTGACTTGGTGTATCTAAACTACAGATATATAAATCTAACCAATCAACAAAATAGTTATCATAACATAAATATAATTTTTAATAATAAAATTTTAAAGCAATATAATATTCAAATAAATTATACAAATATTAACAACTTTAAAAATTCTTTAATAGGTTAAATTAGTTTGCAAAACTTATTACTATATAATGTACAAAGTATTAGATAATATTTTAATTATATTCAAAACTTTTCTTATTTAAGCAATTAAATCTTATTAATTAATATATTAATTCATTTCTTATTTAAATTTTTATTTATATTAATTTAAAATTCTTATAAGTATAAATTATTAGATATAAAGTAGTTTTAATTAAAAATAAATGCATTATTGTAATAAAAAAGTTTAAACTATTTTTTTTGTTATAAACTTGTTCTGATTAGCTAAAATTTATTATCTATATTTAGCAAAATTATAATAAAATTACTTTAATTAATTATAATACTTATGTACTACTATATATTAGTAGCTAACTAATTACATTAAAAGCACTTTTAGTTTTTTTTTTTTTTTTTTTTAAATATGCACTTTTAGTTTCTAAATTTAATAATTATTTATATTTAATATAAGCAGTTTATATTGTTATAGCAAAAAAACTTTCTTTACTTCTTACTATAACAATAACATGATTACAGAAATTCTTTACAAGTTTATAGCAATATCTAAAAGAAAAGTATAGTTTCTTTAACTAATTAAAAACTATATTTTTTTTTAATCAGTTTGAATATAACAATACAATAGTTTATACCTTTATTATTACAAGAGTTATAGATCTTGATTGTAAAAATTATCTTAAAAAAGAATATCTGTATAGTAAAAATAATATTATTATTAAAAAAATAAAACTATTTATTAGATTTCTGTTTCTAAGAAATCTTTTTACATTTTTATAAAAATTACTAAACTAAAAATAAGAGAAGAGATATGTCTGTGACTTGCACTTGAAAAAATCTTTAATATTTATACATTCATTAACAGTTATCAAAGTTAATCATCAAGACTATAACAACTATTAATATTAAACATTAAGCATCAAGTGCTAAGCATTAAGCATCAAGTATCAAGTATTAAGCATTATAATACAATTGTTTTCTCACTACTTATGTAACTAATTTTTTTTTTGATATTAAGGTGACCTTTTTGGTTTTTTAGCTTTATTAACACTTTTGTTAGAAAAATGTTTATATAGACATATTGTCCATATATTACAAAAGTGTGTATACTGGCTACACATGTAACTTTTCTATATTACCTATATAAGAAGTCCACCTAAGGGAACCGAGGGTATTGTGAACAAGTGAAAGATAACTTATAATCTAGTTATCAGAACTAGATGAATTTTATATAATTTAATTCGTCTTAAAGAAACGAAATTAAATAGTACAGAAATAATCTAATTTCGACTTGTTCACAATACCCCCTATCCAAAATACCCCCGACTTCCTTATATACCTAGGTCTAAATCTTATTTTAAAAGAGTACTAGATGCATTGTTCTATAATAATATTATATTTAAATAAATATAATCAAAGATTTTTTAAATATAAATCATTGCAATTTATCAAACCCTTAAAATAATAATAATTATAATAAAACATGTATTGCAAAAGCTAATTTTAAAACATTGCAATGAAGTATATAAATATAATCTAAAATAAAAATAAATTTAATAATTTATTTTTTCAGTATTGTTTTACATAAATTCACAAATACATATATGTATAACTAATACCAAAAGAATTATTCAATCTTCAAATTGTATAAAAACTGTAATTAAACTTAATTATTCCTAACGTGAATATATATACTCGAGTAGTAAGAGTATCTATTTTACAGACATTAATCTTTGGATCAAAAAATTCTATGACAACCGCTTGAGCAATGTAAATGCACGCAACATGAATATCACAAAGAAACTAAGATACAACGCGTTATATCGAGAAAATACACTAAGATAAACGCACTTTTGCAGTTAATTAAAGTAAGAAATATAAAAATAAAGATTCAACAAAAAAGAAAAAAGAATTGGTACATAACACAATTTCTCACCATTGTTATCCATTCGTAAATCTAACTACCATCACACTTAAATTATCAGTACTGAAATTTTGTAGAGCGTGTTTAATCAATTTTGTGCTTGCTTCCTCTGGATCCATAATATCTTTAATGAGATCCACAGCTTCCTGGTCATTACAAACATCCCATAGCTGAAAGCATAAATATATAATATAAATACTAATAAATACAAGAGAAGATCAAAGCACTAAAACAAACGACGACTTACACCATCACATGCAAGTATCAAAAATGGATCCTTTTCTGTTAGAGTTGTTTCAGTGGTGTAAGGTTTACCTATAACAAAATCTTTCATTGAATAATCACCAAGTGAACGTGTCACAGCCAATACACCTAACAAATGGAATGAAGAAATATGAAATATTTCAAAGAACAGATAATAAAAAAATGCTGAAGGCAATCCAGTAACGAACCATTAACGCGGTTATTCATGACAAAGCCACCAGCTTCAACAATTCTTTTAGCTTCTTGAAAATCGCTTCCTTTATGATCATAAGACAGCCTAAAAGCCTTCCCATCCCGACTATATAAAACATATTTAATTAGACAAAAATTAAAGTTAAAAAAGCACCAGACTAATTAAAAACAGCATACTTCAAAACAGCGCGAGCATCACCAACATTTGCAGTATATAAAACACGCTACATTAAAAAGGATGAAAAATTAACAGCAGTTCAGTGTAAAACACACAAATTGAATTAAAAACATACCTTGAGTTTCTTCGTTGAATCAGCGCCATTGCATACTGAAGGATCCTTACCATTAATATCATTTCCATTTGTTATTTCTTCAGACCTCAAAAAAGCGGTAACAGCCGTGCATCCAGAATGCTTTCCAGCATTTTGGTTAAGTTGTTCATCTGCCTGCAGAAAAGTCAAATTAAAAATTTCCTGAACAGGTATATTGGCATTTTTTTGAAGAACATCTTGAAATATCTAAATAAATATAAAATGCAAATAGAAATTTATTAGTGACGCATAATGACAATATTTGTCAATTATATTAAAAATTGTAAATCCTAACAAAACAAATGATCTGATAATATATGCACCATTAACGCTATCCTACACAGAACAAAAAGCACACATAAGAAAATATCTGAATTAATATTTTTTTTTTATTAAATTTTTATTCTTTACCTCATGAAAATGATTTCCACACCATTCGGCGGCTTGTTTACCAGCATGACCGTCAAAAATTGAGAAGAAACCTTGGCCCTTAATTCCCGCGAAATCATAAAAATATGAGTGCGCATCCTATTAAACGATAAGTTTTGCGAAGGATTATATTTAATTGAGAAAATGTCAAGGTGTCCTGCTTTGAAACTTTTTGATCGTAATGTAGTTAAATTCTCATAGGCAAAAAAGCCTTGGTACAGCTTATGTAAGTAGCAAAATATTCTATACCTCCATTGTACGTCTACAACGTCTATTTCGGTCCTCACTCACACCCACATGAAAATAAGGAAAATCTTCTCTTATACTTGTCATTTGCAATTGTAGATTTTAGAGATTCTCCTTTTTTATATATATAATAATAATAAAGACTATCGTACGTAGTAGAATCTTTTATTGACTAAAAAAGCTTATCGTTATGACAAGATAGAATGTAAATACATTATTTCTTGGTAAAGCTACGCTAAAGATTTCTGCCTGCATTTGTGCTACATTTAAGTCACCCAATGCGACATATCACCCACCTCTTTTCCTTATCTAATAAAATTAAGACGAAGTTGCAGTAGGAGGAAACCTCTCGAGTGTTATATCGATATATTAGCAAACCATTGTGTTAGTGACGTTTAGTTTATTACACAACCGTGATATCAGAAAATACGTACTATGCGACTTTGGATTAGTTCCATTGTTAACGTATAAGTAAATTATTTAAATTGGTTATTCTTTAATCCGTAAACTTTCAAGTAGGTTGTTGCCATGCTTAGAGTATATATTTTTTATATATTCTAAGCATGGTTTTGCTGGACAACAACCCAAGTAAAAAATTCATATATACAGTCGACTCCTAAGTGCGAGCTATTGGGACCAATAGGTTACCTTGCACTTAAAGAAAAACTTTTAAAACTAATTTGCATAAAAATTGTTCAGTAGTACCAGGCAGAATTATGTTTATCATGAGCCAGAATTATGTTTATTGTGGGCCAGAATTATTTTAATACCAGCTAAGTAGGTTGTGTTACATAACAGATAATTACAATTTACATAAGTTTCAGAAAATGTGAATCTTAGCATACGTATTTGCTGTTCGATTGATTGCAGACATACATTCATAATATATATTTTATTAATTTATTTATGTGAAAGAATTTTTGTGCGCCTTTCATCATAGTCATCTATTTTGTTCTCACGATTTTAATTTATTTTGCCGCATTGGTATGTTTGAAAATAACCTTTACCTTTAAAGGGGTTAGTCACACGGTAGGCAATTTTTGAAATTCATTTAACAAATTAAGGCCTTTACTGTTAAGATCCATATATAAATTCACATTTACATTTGCTGTCCTATATTTACACTTCAGATATAATAGCTCATTATAAATTTTTTTGATTTATAAGTATTCTCATATTTGGTAAGCCAATTTGTTCGATTTTTTTTATGCGTAAAAAGCAATTTAACGACCTAAATCAAATTAATCAATTTATATATTTACATTTTATTAGTGTCACTCGGTCCAATCTAAGATCAGACTAATTCAGTCTTGTGATACATGGGAATTATGGATTGTCGATCTTTGATCTCATGACCCAGATTAACATTCCTAGGTGTCACTTATACTGCAAGAGATCTACCAACACTAATCACCTATCGCTATCACTTAGTCGAATTCTAGATCAACCTGATACACATTTACAGATTGCAAGTACCAGATCGATAAAAGCATTATTGTGTCATTTGATCATTTGATTTGAATGTACGATTCGAATTGTAACTCCAAATCGTGAAATTTTAATTTATCAAATCTTACTGTTATGCAAAATTACAGTTAATACGATTAAATAATTTAGGTAGTTCCAATTTTTAAGACATAAACATATTCATATTATCTTGAGTATATGTAAAAAAATTTTTTTTTATAACTTAATTATAATTTATAGTAATTTATTTTTCTTTTAAACATTCTTGTTATTTTTACTTAGTATATAATGTTATATAAGAATTTTATAGATACTGTTACAAAATAAGTTATTAGCTTAATGTAGTATATTAAATTATTATTACAGTACCGGACAGTAAAAGACATCCAATGTTTATTAATAAAAACTTTGAAGTGTTATAACTTTTTTAAAACAGGT